AGAGTAGATGAAGCCAAGAATAAAATTAGTGACTTGGAATTTAAAAAGGCAGAAAAGACCAAATAGGAATTGCAAAAAGAAAAAGGAATAAAAAAATTGAAGACAGTGTGAGAAGCCACCAGGACAACTGCAAGTGTACCAATATTTGTAACATGGGGGTTTTAGAACAAGAGCAATAGATCCAGAAATTGAAAACCTATTTGAAAAAAATAATATCAGAAAACTTCCCTAACCTGGTGAAGGAAATAGACATACAAGTCCAGGAAGTATAAAGATCCCCAAACAAGATGAACCCAAATTGGCCACACCAAGACACATTATAATCAAAATGAAAAAGGTTAAAGACAAAATCAATATATTAAAAGCAGTAAGAGAAAAGCAGTTACTTGCCTACAAGGAGCTACCATAAGACTGTCAGCTGTTTTTTCTTTTCAGGCCAGAAGGCAGTAGCAAGAAATATTCAAAGCGATGAAAAGAAAAAAAACAACAACAACAAAATGGCCCTACCCAGCAAACCTATCCTTTAGAGACAAAGGACAGATAGAGAGCTTCCCAGACAAGAAAAAGTTGAAAGAGTTCATCACCACTAGACCAGTATTATATGAAATGATAAAAGGTCTTCTTTAAGAAGAAAAAAATAAAAAATATGAATAAAATGCCAACAAATATCTATCAACAAATGAATCTAAAAGAAAAAAAATAGAATGAACTAATAAGAAGAACAGAAACAAATGCACAGATACAAAGAACATTTTAGCATTCTGTTATTAACCAGTGTCATAGAAATGGTTATTGAATAAAATTTATTTGCTGTTATCCCTCCCTTGAAGGTCCCTAAATACCTTAAAATAAGATTAGGTTAGGTCAGATACTTCTGGCCAAGATGGAGGCATAGGTAGATACACTACGCCTCCTCACACAACCAAAAGAAGGACAACAAATTTTAGCACAAAAAACAATCTGAACTGGCAGAAAATTGAACTGCACGGAAGTCTGACAACCAAGGAGTTAAAGAAGAAACATTCATCCAGACGTGTAGGAGGGACAGAGACGGGAAGCCGGCAGGAGAGGGGTCACAGCAAGGCTGCTGGCTGACCAAGCAAGGCGGCTGCTGGCAGAGCAGGCAGTCCCATATTTCCATGCAGATAAACTGGAAGGAACAACAAGGGAGCAAAACAGACCTCACAACCTAGGATTCCAATGGGGGCAAATAAAGCATCAAAACCTCTGACTGGAAAAACCTGTGGGGATTGAGGCAGTGAGAGAAACTCCCAGCCTCACAGGAGAGTTTGTTGGAGAAGTCCACAGGGCCCTGAACACAAAAACACCCAACCAGGAATCAGGACCACAAGGGCCCGATTTGCTTGAGGGTAGCAGGGGAAGAGACTAAAAGCTGGCAGAGAGCTGAACAAAAGGCATTGTTGCCTCTCTGACCCCTCCCCCACATACAGCACCATACAGGGACCTGGGTTGCCTAGCCCTGACAAATACCTCAGGCTCTGTCCCTTACCATGTAACAGGCCCACTGAGACAAAATAATAATAATAATAATAATAATAATGGACCAAATGAAAGAAGAGATCAAACCTTCAGAAAAATACAACTAAGAGACAAAGAGAGAGCCAACCTATCAGATGCACAGTTCAAAACACTGGTAATCAGGATGCTCACAAAAATGACTGAGTATGGTTGCAAAACAGAGGAAAAAGTGAAGATTATAAGAAGTGAATAAAGTAAAATGTACAGGGAATCAACAGTGAAGGGAAGGAAACCGAGACTCGAATCAATGGTTTAGAGCAGAAAGCAGATTGAAACATTCAACCAGAAGAGAAGAAACAAGAATTCAAAAACTGAGGAGAGGCTTAGGAACATCCAGGATATCTTTAAATGTTCCAACATCTGAATCATAGGGGTGCCAGAAGGAGAAGAGGAAGAGCAACAAATTGAAAAACTTATTTGAAAAAATAATGAAGGAAAACTTCCCCAATTTGGGAAAAGAAATAGACTTCCAGGAAGTCCAGAAAGCTCTGAGAGTCCCAAAGAAGTTGGACACAAGGAAGCACACACCATAGCACATCATAATTACATTACCCAAGATTAAAGAGAAGGAGACAATCTTAAAAGCAGCAAGAGAAAAGGAGAGAGTTACCTACAAAGGAGTTCCCATTAAACTACCAGCTGATTTCTCAAAAGAAACCATGCAGGCAAGGAGCTGGAAAGAAGTATTCAAAGTCATGAAAGACAAGGACATATATCCAAGATTACTCTATCCAGCAAAGCTATCATTGAGAAAGGAAGGGCAGGTAAAGTGCTTCTCAGATAAGGTCAACTTAAAGGAGTGCATCATTACTGAGCCCTTATTATATGAAATGTTAAAGGGGCTTATTTAAGATAGATAAGATGATCAAAAATATGAACAGTAAAATGATAACAAATTCACAACTATCAACAGCTGAACCTAAAAAAACAAAAAAAAAACAAAAATGAACTAAGCAAACAACTAGAACAGCAACAGAATCACAGTAATGGAGATCACCTGGAGAGTTATCAGCAGGGAAGGGGTAAGGGGGTAATGGGGGAAAAGGCACAGGGAATAAGTATCATAAATGGTAGGTAGAAAATAAACAGGGGGAGGTTAAGATTAGTACAGGAAATGGAGAAGCCAAAGAATTTATATGTATGACCCATGGACATGAACTAAGGGAGGGTTTGTGGATGGGAGGGGTGTGCAGGGTGGAGGGGAATAAAGGGGGGTGGATGGGACAAATGTAATAGCATAGTCAATAAAATATTTAAAAAATTAAAAAATGAGATTAGGTTAATATTAAGTTCAAAAATATACAGAATAGGCTGAGGTGATTTATAAAAAGAAAAACTGCTTGTCCCAATCAAAAAACTAGGAAAAACTTGTAGTTAGGATTAATAATTATATTTTTTAGTTAAATCCATGCCTATTAATTAACAATTTAAATGGTTGGGTAGCACTGCTAAATTATGTCTATGAAAGCCATCTTTTTTATAGACAGGTGGTGGTTAATCTTCCTAATTCCTGGTTGTCATCAGGTCATTTCTGACACTAATCATAGGATGATATCCACTCTCAAAGCTGAGATCCAAATTCAAAGATTTACCTTTTACTTAGACCTTCTATGATTCCCTTCTTAATGTGTGCACCCCTCTGTGCTTCATGAAAATTCCAGGACTTCTTTCCCTGACTCTGTGCAGTTCGCTCCCTACTCACGTATGCTTTGCTTTCATGTCTGTTGTCAAAAACATGCAAGAAGATTTCTCCTATAACAATCTTTTCCCTAAAATCTAGTTCTCCTTATTCAACCATTTACCAGCTCCTTGATTGTGTTTCTTCAGTGTTCCTGAAAATATACACACTGGTGTTGAATATATATGTCCAGAAATTTCATCTGTTTCCACTAGCTGAGTGACCTTGAATAAGAAACTTACTATTAATCTCAGTTTATCTCCTATAGAATGGCAATTCCATAACTATCTAACTCACAGAATTATGATAATAAAGATGAAATAAATGAGTTAATGAATGTAAAATTCAACTTAAGTGGAATGATAATAAAGAATTATCAGAATTATGATAATAAAAATGAAATAAATGAGTTAATGAATGTAAAATTCAACTTAAGCAATATTTCTTAAAGGGAGTTTTTCAAGAAATATTAATTCCACAAAATGTTCTTTAGTCAAAGGGGACACATGGTTAAATCAGTTTATTAAACAGAACATCCAATGCTAACTTCTCAGTCAGCGATGATGTACATTAACATATTAAAGGCTCTACAAAGACTTGTAAGAAAACAAAACAAAACAAAAAGTTGGCCTAACATTCTCTACATGGACTTCACCAGAGAGTCTTTGTGTGCATAGGAGCTATTTAAAATCCTGCAGAACCAGTGTTCTGAGGAAGGCATTTGAGGAAATGCTGACTTGGACAAGAACCAGTTATCATTTTAGAAGTTATTCCAGCCTTAGGTTTCCAACAGTTTTCAAAAAACTTTTGTGAAAGAGACTTCCTCCTAATGTTCAGAGCCGTCACAATCCCTCAGAAAAATGAACCACATTGCCCTGTGGGAGGCTGTGCCAGAAGGGTAGTAGCATGGTATTAACTTTCCAAGGCCAATTATTTTTTGAAAATCTCTTAAAGTATATGAAAAATTTCTATTTTTCATGTGATGCCCAGTAATTGCTTATCCAGACAGCAGCAGATGTGAAACTTCATCCCAGGAGAAAAGTTTAACATAATATGTGAAAATCTGATAAAGCTTGGGAAGAACTCAGGGGAGACTTGGAAAATGGATAGGCCCCTATCTATGGTGAAGGAAGGATGGAGATGTGGTCACTATCTGTGAGCTCCAATACATCCACCACCAAAAGCAAACTATTTACCATGCACAGAGGTAAATGGCAATAATGACGTGTGGAGCAATGGTCTCAATGTCACAAACTGAAGGCCACCAAATTTTGAATGGCACAGTGGGAATTTCACAATCATTTAATTTTTCTCCTTTAAATGGGAGTGAAAATCAGTATCACTCACATTTACTGATCATACTGGCCTTTTCTTCTCTACCATGACATCCTTAATTCTTCACAAACATCTTCATCAAAAAGTACCTTTCAAATAAACTAGCATTCCTAAAATCACATTAGTCATTTCTATTTATTCATGTTTGAAGTCCATCTATTAAAAAGAATAAACTAATAAACAGAATAAACAGAAAATATAAGCTTCCCTATATCAGAGTCTTATTTTTAAAAGCATATTATAAAAAGATGATGCTGTGAGATCAAAAAACTACTATCATGGTCACTTCTTTAACAATGTTCACAGTTTTATTAAAACAAAAGTAAGCAAAATAGCCTGTTATTATCAACCACTCTTATTTCAGTTTTAGTTTTCATAGGCTATAAACACCCAAATTTATTTTAATATAAATATCCCAAATTAATACCCCAAATTAAAAGTAAGATGTGTGTTTGCTTCAGCAGCACATATACTAAAACTGGAGTGGTACAGAGAAGATGAGCATGGCCCCTGTGCAAGGATGACATACACGCAATTTCATGAAGCATCCCATATTTTTATGACAGAAAACTTTCCTAACTTGATGAGATAAAAAGTCACACAAGTCCAGGAAACAGAGGGTCCCAAACAAGATGAACCCAAAGGGGCCCACTCTAAGACACGTCATAATTTAAATGGCAAAATTTAAAGACAGAGAGAATCTTAAAGGCAGCAAGGGAGAAACAGCTGGTAATATACAAGGGAGCTCAAATAAGGTTAGCAGCTGATTTGTCAACATAAACACTACAAGCCAGAAGGGAATGGCAAGAAATATTCCCGGTAATGAAAAGTAAAGGCCTGTAACCAAGACTACTCTACCCAGCAAGACTCTCATTTAAAATGGAAGGTGAAATAAAAAGCTTCCCAAACAAACAAACAAACAAAAAGCTAAAAGAATACATCTCCATCAAACCATCATTGCAAGACATGAAAGAGGAACTGCTTTAAGAAGATGAAGAAAAAGAGAGAGACACAGGAGCACAGGTACAAAGGAGAAAAATGGTAATGAATAAGTACCTATCAATAATAACCCTAAATGGAAATGCATTAAATGCTCCAATCAAAAGACATAGGGTAGCTGAATGGATAAGAAAACATTACTCACGTATATGCTGTTTATAAGAGACCCACCTCAACAAAATACCTATACATACTGAAAGTGAAGTACTGTAAAAAACTAATCTAAGCAAATGGACCTGGAAAAAAAGCTAGGGTAGCAATACTTGTATCAGACAAAATATATCTTAAAACAAAGGCCATAAAAAGAGACAAAAAAGGACACTTCAAAAAACTTAAGGGAATAATTCATCAAGAAGATATAATTCTTGAAAACATATATGTACCCAACATAGGAGCACTCAAGTAAATTAGGAAAATTTTGGAGGACTTCAAGAAAGATATCCACTGCAACACACTCATCATAGGGGATTTTAACACCCCATTGTCAACAATGGATAAATCTTCCAAAGTAAATATCAACCAGCATATTATGTCATTGAACAACACTCTAGATTAAAGGAACTTAATTGATATACACAGAAACTTTTACCCCAAAGAAGCAAAATACACATTCTTTTCAAATGCATATGGATCATTTTCAAAGATAGACCATATAGTAGGACACAAAACAAGCCTCAAAAAGTTCAAGAAACTTGAAATCACATCAAGCATCTTGGATCACAATGGCTTGATCCAAGCCATTGGATGGAAACTAGAAACAAACCTCAAGGGAAAAAGTCAAAAACATTCAAATACATGGAGACTGAATGACATGCTATTAAGTAGTGAATGGGTTAACAATGATATCAAGGAAGAAATTAAAAAGTTTCTGGCAACAAATGGAAATGAACATACAACAGCCCAAAACCTATGGGACACAGCAAAGGGAGTCCTGAGAGGGAAGTTCTTAGCAATACAGGCTTACTTAAAAAAATAGAAAAATCTCAGATAAACAACCTAACCCTACATCTACAAGAACTGGTGGAACAACAACAAAGTCCAGAGAGAGTAGAATGAAAGAAAGAATCAAGATCAGAGCAGAATTAAATGATATAGAAACTAGAAGAATAATTCAAAGCATCAATAAATCCAGGAGGTGGTTCTTTGAAAATCAACAACCCTTTAACCAGACTCATCCAGAAAAAAAGAGAGTGGGCCCCCAAAACTGAAATAATAAATGACAGAGAAGTTAAAACCAATACCACAGAATTTCAAAGGTCATAAGAAATTACTACAAACAAGTGTATGCCAAGAAATTTGACAACTGGGGTGAAATAGACAAATTTATAGAAATATAATCTTCCAAAATGGAATCAAGAAGAAGCCAAAAGCCTGAATACATTGATAACAACTGCTGAAATTGAAGCAATAATCAAAAAACACGTGGCACACACAATCCCAGGACTAGACAATTTCACAGGCAAATTTTACCAAACATTTAGGGAAGAACCAACTCCTATTCTCCTCAAACTATGCCAAAAAATTCAAGAAGAAAAACTCCAGAACTCTTTCTATCAGGCCAGTGTTATCCAAATTCCCAAACCAGGTAAAGACACAACAAAGAAAGAAAACTACAAGCCAATACCTCTGATGAGCACAGATGTTAAAATCCTCAACAAAATATTGGCAATCCAGATCCATCAATACATTAAAAAATGATACACCATGATCAAGTGGGATTCATCCTAGGGATACAAGGATGGTATAATATTCAAAATCAGTAGACATAATACACCACATACACCACATTGAAAGACAATCACATGATCACATCAATAGATGCTGAAAAAGCGTTTGATAATATAAGCACCCATTTATAATAAAATCTCTCAGCAAAGTGGGAGTATAGGGAGCATACATCAACATAATAAAGACCATATATGAGAAACCTACAGCCAACATTATACTCAATGGGCAAAAACTTAGAGCTTTCTCACTAACATGAGGAACAAGACAAGGATGTCTACTTTCACCACTTTCATTCAAATAGTATTGGAAGTTTTAGCCACAGTGATCATACAAGTAAAAGAAATAAGAAGCATCCAAATAGAAAAGGAGGAAAATTGTCATTATTTTCAGATAACGTGATAGTGTCAGGGGTGTCCAACCAACTGCCCACAGGCTGCATGTGGCCCAGGATGTCTATGAACGCAGCCCAACACAAAGTCATGAATTTACTTAAAATCTTTTTATTTTGCTCATCAGTTTTCATTAGTGTTTGTGTATTTAATGTATGGCCCAAAACAAGTCTTCTTCTTCCAGTGTGGCCCAGATATGACAAGAGGTTGGACACCCCTGGTATACACAGAAAACTCTATAGGCTCCACCAAAAACTACTCAACCTAACCTAATACATTAATTTGGCAAGATAGCAGGTTAAAAATCAGTATCTAGAAATTGAAGGCATTTTTGCATACCAACAATGAAATATCAGAAACAGAAACTAGGGAAAAAATCCCATGTGTTTCCAAGAAAAATAAAGCACCTAAAGAACCTAGGAATAAAGAACCTAGGAATAAATTTAACCAAGGAGGTAAAAGTCCTATACTCAGAAAACTACAGAACACTAAAGAAAGAAATTAAGGAAGATACAAATAAATGGAAGCATATACCATGTTCACAGATTGGAAGAATTAACATCATTAAAATATCCATTCTACCCAAAGAAATCTATAGATTTAACTCAATCCTTATTAAAATACCAATGACATATTTCACAGATTTAGAACAAATATAAATTTTAAAAATTTATAAGGAACCAAAACAGACTCAAAATACCCCCAGAATTCTTGAGAAATAAGAACAAAGGAGGAGGACACAATACCTGATATCAAATTATATTACAAGGCCACTATAATCAAAACAGTCTGGTACTGGCATAAGAACAAATACATAGTTTAATGGAACAGAATAGAGAGTCCAGAAACAAACCCAAGTCTCTATGGTCAACTAATATTTGAGAAAGGGGTCAAGAGCATAAAATGGAGTTAAAATAGTCTCTTCAATGGTTTTGGGAGACCTGGACACCTATGTGCAAAAAAATGAAACCAGACCACCAATTTATACCATACACCAGAATAAACTCAAGGTTGATAAAAGACTTAAATATAAGCCATGACACCATAAAAGTCCCAGAGGAAAACATAGGCAAGAAAATTACAGATATCACACACATCAATATTTTTGCTGATATATCTCCTAGGTCAAGGGAAATAAAGGAAAGAATAAACAAATGGGACTACATCAAACTACAAAGCTTTTACATGGCTAAAGAAAACATTATCAAAATGAAAAGGGTACCAATGGTATGGGAAAACATATTTGTCAATGATACCTCAGAAAAGGGTTTGATTTCTAAAATATATAAAGAACTCATATAACCTAGCACCAGGAAGATAAACAATCCAATTAAAAAATAAGCAAAAAGCCTAAACAGACACTTTTCCAAGGAGGACATACAGATGGTCCATATGACACATGAAAGGATGCTCAACGTCACTAGCCATCAGAGAGATGCAAATTACAACCACAATGAGACACCACCTCACACCAGTCAGAATGGCCATCACTAACAAATCAACAAACAAGTGTTGGAGAGGATGTGCAGAAAAGGAACCCTAGTGCACTGTTGGTGGGAATGCAAACTGGCACAGCCACTGTGGAAAACATGGAATTTCCTCAAAAAACTAAAAATAGAACTGCTTTTTTACCCAGCAATTCCACTGCTGGGGTTATACCCTAAGAATACTAAAATACCAATTCAGAAGAAGCTATGCACCACAATGTTCATAGGAGCATAGTTTATAATAGCCAAGTGATGGAAACAGCCTTAGTGCCCAATAATACATGAGTGGATCAAAAAACTGTGGTACATTTACACAACAGAATATCACACAGCAGAAAGAAAGAAGGAACTCCTACCTTTTGCAACAGCATGGATGGAACTGGAGAGTGTTATGGTAAGTGAAATAAGCCAGGTGGCTAAAGACAAATACCCTATGATCTCACCTATAAAAGGAACCTAATGAACAAAACAAACAAATGAGCAAAAATAGAATCAGAGGCCTGGAAACAAGGAACAAACTGACAGTGACCAGAGGGAAAGGGGGAGAAGAAGGAGGCAAAGAAAGCGAAAGGTCTAGTCAAGGAACAGGTGTAAATGACCCATGGACATGGACAACAGGGTGGGGGTTGCCTGTGGAGCAAGGGTGGGTGGGGCAGTGGAGAACAACAGGGGAAAAATTTGGATAACTGTAATAGAACAATAAAATAAAAAATAATAATAATAAATAAGATGCATTATTAATCATATAAGAAAGACTTCTGATTTTTTAAACACCAGTTTAAAACTGGTTTAAAACTCAGTTTATACTGAGGTGTACCTGCACCATCACCTCAGTATAGATGAATGACTGAGGCCATAAACTTGAAGGAGCTCCTACCCTTTGCAACAGCTTGGATGGAACTGGAAAGCATTATGCTAAGCAAAATAAGCCAGGTGGTGAAAGACAAATACCATAT